ATCGGAAGAATGCGTATCTTCTTGTTTCTATTAGTCTTGTTATTCAGATAGCCCTTACCAGAAGTGACTTTAACAAAACGAAGGCAGGGGAAGTGTGATATGTCTGCTTAGGTGTAAAATCTATTTGAGTGGGGAAGAAGAGATTTTTCAGATAAAGAACAATGTTGGCAGAAAAAAGAAAGAACGTGTATAGGCATGTCTAAATTTAGTCTGGTCATCAAGAGAAAGCTGATACCCAACTAAGCCAACTGCTAATTTTGCAATCAAGTCTTTCAGTAGGCACAGTATGTGCAAAAAACCCCTGCTTTTAAGATTAATGATCATCTTTTAAAAAAGATTTTAAGAGCTGATGCCTCTGACAACAGAAAAAGAAAGAACATGGAGCCCTCTCATTCTCATGTTCCTATTTTGGCCTGTCTCTTCCTGCAAACTGCCGCATATAACACCTAACTCTGCCAAAGTTACTGAAGTGACATTGGTGTAGAGTTGATGAAGAAAATGGAGAATCAAATCTACAAAATCCTTTGCTGGACTTAGACGGAGATAAAGTAATTTCATTTCATCACACCAGAACATGAATTCACATTTATATTACATTACCTTCAGCCTAAACCTCCCTCCTCCAACACTTCCTAAAGTCTGAAAAGAGGCTAATTATTAAGAAACTGGATATCCTACCCTTACACATAAATACTTCAGTACTAGTTATTTTATACCTAGGTGGTGAATGTGGAGTCACTCATTACTCCATTGCTGCAAACTGTATAGGATCTGGTCCAGTGTAAACTCGTAAACAAGGACTTGCTGAGTATTCAGCTGCAGAACAAGTGGTATTTGTGAAGCTGAACTCAGCCGAACCTTTTTCATGAGCTGAATACTTCTGCATATGGAAAGAACTTCTGCTTAATTCAGGATGTGTAACTAGCAGTCTGAGAAAGTTTTAATTGCAGGCAAAACTGATCCTAAGGAGGCTAGTAAATATGCTGGTTTGCCTTGGAGTATGCTCCAGCTTTAGTATGAAATGCATTTGCATTAAACGCAGCTATGTACCATAGCAGGCCATATATATGAACGTGTGTAATACTTCTAGTAACCAGATGTTTTTCTTTTAAAATAAAATAGATACCCAAATTTCACCTAGGTTACATTCCCCCCTTCCTCTCGGCTTTGAAGTTTGCACAAGCTGTAAGATGCATAAAACAGGGCACGTTATGTTACCTCATAAATGTTAAATTGCTCAACTAAGTCCAAGTCTGTTCCTTTCTTGTTCAAGTGTCTCTGTGAAATAGCTTCAATGCCTAGCTCTTCCAGACAGTCCACCACGTCGTAGAAAGAGTCTTGATCTGGCAACCCCGACAACGTCTAAGAATCAAAGGAAAAACATTTAAATTTGTTTGTTTTGAAAAGAATTAAACAAAGGTTTTCAAAAGCAGGTGGCAAGTGGTGCTATGTATGATTTCAATAAAGTAAAACCCATGATGTGGGATTAGAGACACCGCTAGAAAATAAAAAACAAGTGGCACAGCTTTTAACAAACAACTCTGTGCACTGTGTAGAAAAATGAAGAATTAGCAAAACAAATCAATGTTATTATTTCATACAAAGAAGTATGGAAAATGTGGGTCTTTAAAATACACAGTTGGATTCTTCCTGCCTTCATTCAAGTACAGATTTAAAGAACAGAGAATGTTAAAGCATCAAACACAGGGATAAAAGCAAAAAGAGATTAAAAAAATGGTTTAGTTAAAAACAGTGAAGCTGATTTCCTACTGATTCCTGTAAGTTTGGCCTTCAGAAGAAAAAGTCCAATGCACAGCTGTGTGAAGTCAGGACAGCAGGAAATTTCCTGCACCATGTGCCTACTGTCCCCCACACCTGCAGCAGAGGTCATCCTCCCAGCGCACAAATTGTTTTATATTACACAGATATTGACTCCTCCCTCCCTCCCTTTCAACTTGAAAAGTCTTATTAAAGGTACACTGACTCCTTAACTCCTACAAAATATTAAGAGTTACTAATTCCTGATTATGGAGTAAGTTGTTACCAGTGACACTGGTGAGGAGCTTTTGCACACTAGAAAATAAAGAATGCCAATAATAACAGGTATTGAAAATGAACTGTTTGAATTCAGAGCTGTCTATGGCACCTGCTCCACATTCAAGAGAGAGTACTTTTCTTACCATAGTCATTTTCCATTTTTTTGGTGAATTCAGAAAACTGGGAAAAGAAAGGTGGTCTTCTGCAGTATATCATGTATACCATGGTATGCCACTGCAGTGTATCTAGCAAGAGGGATTAAATTAAGCTAGTCAGCTTTACTGCAGAGTGATGTGTGGGAAGAGTACACAGGCATTGGACAACTTTGTTCAGAGCACAACTGAACTTCATCCACTAGAGTCCTGTAGACACTTACAAAGACAACAGAAAACACTACTATTCTGGTTTGGCATTGATTTCTACTCAGCTTGTGCTGATTTTTCACTACTTCTTATGGATGATGCAGAAAAATTAATGTAATCCTGCACACATTGAGCAGAAACTACTGAACATACTGTGCAACGTGCTCGCAGAGCAACATACACCTCATTGCAAGAATCTGTCTACACAGAGCTGTTTCTGCAAAATACGTGAGAGGGCAGACTGGAAGCAACACAGTTATACTGGGTTAGCTCCCCAGAGAAACTACTCTGAAGTAGTTTCCTCTCTCCTATTTAATTAGCCAAGTAACTTATCTATACTCCCAGCAGAGGAGAGAAAGAGCAAGAGATAGGGACAGCACGTGCAAAAACCAAGCCCTCTCCAGAAAGAGTTTCACCTTCTCATGCCCAGGATGGGATGAACTGTGCTCTGAGAATTCTGGCTTTCTGTAGCCTGGCTCTTCCAACGTGGCTCTGAGCAGCAGAGTTCAGAAGAGAGCAGCCACTCTGGGCTGCCTCCCTACACCAAGAAGCTTTACATTCAGAAAAATTGGTCTGAATTACGTGACTAACAAGAGAAAGCAACAGACAGCTGACATATCCTGCCCTGTTAAAGCATCTCTTTCCCGTGAAATTAGACCCTGGAAAATGTGCATCACCAAGGTACTTTTTAATTTAATTTTTTTTTAAACTCCACACAACACAGCAACATTTTCTTCTTCAGTCATTACAGGACTGTTGTCTGATGTCTAGTGAGGTCCACAACAACAGGAATGCTTAGTACAAACACCAATGAAGTGTTAGGGTTATACGTTCAGGGTTATATGTTCAGGCTGTAACTCAGAATTTAAGCCTCTGTTTAAAATCCACTAGAAGATATGAGACGAAATTTTCCTGAACAGTGCTGAAAATAGATACCATGTACATTTTATTCCTTCCTAAACTGACACTTAGCATTTAGTAAAAAACTGAGGATTAAGCAAATGAAGCTATCATACTGTAAATTCAATGGAGCTTTAACACAGATATGGAAAGACTATAACAGAAAAAGATGTTTAACTACCAGGCTTTCTCTTGCTTATGAAAGAAGTAGACAGCAACTACACCAAGCCCAGTGTCTTCATGCACAGTAAGATGCGATGTCTTATGTGTGAAAGGGTGGACAGTCAGAATCTTTTGCACAGATCTTCTGAGCAGATACTTCTTAAAATATCAGGAAATGGTCTTGATGTTGATATGCAGATCACCCACCTTCAAGAACAGCTTTTTTTAAATCTGAGGTGAGGCAGGCTGCAGACAGGGAAAACAGTAGCATAAGGTAGTATTTACTGGCAGCCCTGCTTCTGTCAGCAGTCTTTTATTGGTTAATATAATTTTAAATCATGCAGCAGTGGAAATCCAATTTTCACTGCATGCTACTGCTCAGAACTGGGCAACTGAACTCCAAAGTATAGAAAACAAATATTTTTCCTTTGCACAGTTTGTCATTTTCAGAGCCTAATGTGCATCAAATTCAATTTCTAACTTTATAAAATGAGATGTAAAAGGGCATCACTGGTGTCACAACAAGGTCAGTTCAGTGTAGCACAGGAGAAACATTTTTGCAGCAGTAAACACAAGGGACATGAAGTGCTTGCATAAATGACTGATTAATTCTGGCTTGTGATATTAGCAAACAAGAGTGGGCCTCCATTTTCTTGGTTGCTTTACAAAGGAAATAAAAGCTGCAAACAGCAGAGCAGAGGTCATAAATTGGGCAGGTCCTTTGAAGGTCCTTGCTTCTTCCTGAGTACCTGGTTAAGTTCAAAATACACATACAAGTCCCAAATAGTTCCTCCTGCTCTGAAGACTGAACCTTACAAAATGAAAATCTGGCTACAGAATTAAAATTTAACTACTTGGAGAAGTGTGTTTACACCATACTCTGTGGTTTGCTTGCTGAATTTTGTTACAGTCTTGCTAGCTTAGACCAAAACTGGGATTTCAAATCTGAAACTCTTTAGAACTCAGGTGTACCAATGAAGCATGAACATGCATGTCAAGACCCATTCCTACGCCTCTATCCAGTTCTGGTTTGAGGAAACATCCCTGAATTAAGATTTTTATTTGTTTGTTGTGTGATTTTCCAAGTTACTTTCCCAAGACCTTGTGGGAAAGTCTGTGCAGCTTTGAGTTCTTCCCTCTCAAGTGGCTGCTTTTGGAATAGTGAACTAAATTAAAACAAAAACCCCAGCCCAAGAATTTTGAGCCTGATATATCTCCTAAACAACATTTTTACCAAAGCCTAAACAATATGTTTCACCTACCACTAACTGTAACAGTCGCAACAGAAAGGCAGGCAGGAAAACTAATGAAGTTGTATTGGAGACTTAAAAAGAAAAAAAAAGTTTTATGGGAGTGTAACAGCCACATGGTCTCTAGTTGATAAAACCTATCAGACAACATACTGAACTGGTAATAACACAATATTCTTATCATTATATATCCTCTGTTGCATTTCTGAACAAAACCTGACATAAATTAGTCCTAGCCTATGCCCGGCTTCACACTGAAAGGCTTTTCTTATTTGCAGTTTTTAAAATCACAGAATCATAGAATCGTTATGGTTGGAAGAGACCTGAAAGATCATCAAGTCCAACCTTCTATCCAACCCACCATGCCCACTAAACCATGTCTCAAAGCACCACATCTAAACCTTCTTTGAACACCTCCAGAGATGGTGACTCCACCACCTCCCTGGGGAGCCCGTTCCAATGCTTAATGACTCTGACAGTGAAGAAATTCTTCCTAATATCCAACCTGAACCTCCCCTGGAGCAACTTCAGACTGTTTCCTCTTGTCCTGTCGCTAGGTACTGGGGAGAAGAGACCAACCCCAATGCAACCATCCAAATGCATAGCCCTGGATGATACTAGCTAGTAAAACTAGTAAGTATGGTGCCTTTTGTCATTTACAAAACAATTACAGTACAAAGCAGTGGCGCAGAGAGGCTATAGACAACAGAAAGTCCATTTCGTGGGCAATGCTTTCTATGCAAGTACAAGTAACACAAGAGTACTGCTCTGGTTACTAAACATCCAACAGACTGGGCTCCACTGGTGGGCCCACGCACTAGTTAGAAAGACATTAGCTAAATCTTACATGCTACGGTGAAAAGTACTACATGGTAAATAAACATGCTTAAGGGAATTAGCCAAGTTTTCAATTGCTTTGGGATAGGAAGAAACCTCTCTCATTTATTTGTTCTCCCAGGAACCACAACTTTTACAATATTTGGCATGGCTAACGTCAGACACAGAACATAAGATGATCATTGTTCCAGTGTGGCAGTTGCGATGTTCATAAGGCAAGTCATCAAAAACTGATGTGCCAGCTGCTGTATTACCATCACACTGGCCTGAAACAGCACTTTTTCAACTACAGCTGATGGACCGCTGGTGGGTGGTACTCTAAGCTCCCACATTGGCCTGAAAGCTGGTGCTTAAATTCTAATCTTATACTGAACCTGCTAAAAAAACATTCAGGGCTTAATCTGAGTATAATAAAACACACTAATTTTATGTACCTTGTAATTATTTTATCTATTTTTTAAAAGATTTATTGTATGATATGAGAGAACAAGCAAAACTAAATACAGGTAAAAAAAAAAATCAACAGAAATCTTACAGCTAGAAAGCTTCCAGTGTAATCTCAATAATGAAGAGGTTTTATAGCAGTTAAATAGAAAGTGAATTGAATGAAAAACAGAATTTTCTTTCTGCATTTGATAAATAGGGCTTTTTTTCTTTTTATACAAAGGAAACACAAAGACTTTAATCTATCTTCAGTAATAGAAATGACCAAAGTAGAGATTAGAATAAGATCTAACAGATCATAGGAACTAACCAAAGCAAGATAACAAAAGTTATACTGGAACTATACACAAGCGGAAGTATCTGCATTGGGATCAATCTCATTTAAGAGATTCATTAATGTCTAAATCACCCCAAATTAAGAGAGGGTTAATGAAATGTTAGCGTAAGTAATTTGGTTAAGCATCAACAAAAGAGATGGAGACAATTAAAGGACTGGAGCAATTCTTATGTCTGGGCAGATGTGTTTTCTGCTCTTGAGCAGGGAGGAAAATAGTCTGTAAATGTATACATGGACAAAGAAAAAGGAGCAGAAGTATGCTTCCTTAAGACAAATCCCTCATGAAGACTCTTCCTGCACTGAAAACTCTGACATTTCCTTGCCTAGAGAAGCTGAAACCATCTGAGCCTTCTTTGCATTCTCTGCGGGGGAAAAAAATTACAACTGTGACATGCTGCTTGCTGTTTTCTCTATAATCATGAAAAAAATCCCATTAAAAACATCATAAAGCTGTCCCTAAGCCAGCTCATAATTATAAGTGTGGCATTGTGGGATTCCTCTCTTCCTTGATCTTCATAACTGTCTTGCTCCTTTGACTGCGAGATGCTTTTTCTTTTCGTGTGTTTTTAAAGAACTACCTCCTCCTAAAAATAGCTTTAAATGTAGTGAAAAATTCAGACTAAAGGAATCAACTGTAGGATAATAAAAGAGTCAACATAGAAAAAAGTTTTTGAATAAGTCAAACACCAGGTAGATGACAACTGCGCAAATAATGAAGAGAATTATCTCAGAAAAAGGAATCGGTACACAAAACAATGAGGTATAAAACAGAGGCGTTAAAAACCAGTCACCTCAGCTTTAATAGCAGCTATAGATAGAAGCATACAAAGCTGGTGATGCCTTTCAGGAAGAGTTCATCAGTGAGATAAAGTGGTCTCTTAAATTCAACAGGATCCTTACTACCATATAAGCAGGAGCAAGGGGGGCTCTAAGTAAAGATACCATAACATCAGTGATGTCATCAGGAGAGGTTAGTCCCTCTCAGGGATCTTTGCTGGACAATATCTGCCATTAAGAAATCAAAAAAACACCAAAGCAACCCATGGCCCCAACCATGTAGCCATGAGCACAATAAGCTGGAAGCTTGATTTATGACCTCCATCAACAAACTCAGGATCTTTAAATTAATAAAATGAATAATAGTAACATTCCGTAATACTCTGGTCTATTAAATACAATCATAAAACATATCTTTATTTTGATTTGCTAGTAGTATGTTGATCGCCCGTGCTCTTTAAAAAATTAATTTTTAATTTTAGTCACCCTAAGATTTGTTTAGGACTAGATGCTAATTTTTAAGGAATTTACACTAATAAATTCCTAACTTTTACAGGCTTTTCACTTTCTCCCTCCTCATAGCACAAGTTGAGTACTTTGGAAAACATTTGATTTTACTACAAAACTACTACTTGTAATACAGGACACCAGAAAATATAAAGAAAGAAGAAAAAATGTAACCTTTTTTTATTTTAAGCAGAATTTTCTACCTGTTAAATTCATCATATTTGGTTTGCAGTAAAAAAAAATTTAAATGATCTGAACTAGAAAATTGTGTACAATGCAAGCCTTTGTGAGCATGTGATCTTTTCACCAGCAGTTGTTTTCTTTCTGCCCTTGGATAATGTGTTGAGTTGGTTTGTTAAGTTTTGTTTTGCACTGTGCTGTCAGTGTTCGGAGAGGAGCCATGTCATAACACATTTCTGCACAGCATCTAGCAAAATAGCAATTCTTTTCCCAGCTGCTGCCTCCGGGTGAGTGCAACGCAGGTAACGAGAGTGTGCTGATTGATTACAGCAACTTCTCCGGCATAGGCCTCCTTCATCATATATTCTCAACAGGGAAGATCATTATACAATTGAAAATACTAACATTATCTCCACCAGTTATGCTAACAAATGTAAACAAACCTTGTTAACCAAGGTCATTGCGTAAACCAGTAGTTCGGTATCAACCCCATCCTTCTCCTCCAGGATCTCCATGATGTTGGACCATGGCTTGGCTCCTAGAGGAAAAGCAGAAACCATTGGTGATGGAGATCAAAATGGAAAGCTACAGCATCAACATTTATCCAAGTAGCAGCACAAGTTGGAATATGTGGCCAGGTGGAAGATCAAATGGAAAGATCCAGCTTCCACTACAGTCTCCCCTGCTTCACAGACAGTGAGGTTAACGCAGCCAGTGAAAGCTACAGTGCATCCCAATGCAGAGATCTAAAATATGCCAGGTGGACTTTCCCCAGAGGTACCACTTTCTCTCCCTTGATGATGAAGGAAGCTTTCTTAGCCCAGTTTGATTGACACTGAACTTCAAAAAATCAGGTGGGAGGAATTTTACCCCATCTATCATAGGTTCACATAGGCTTAGGTAAATCTTCAACAAAAACCTATATGCTAGGCTTTCAATGTGCTTGTTCACATTCCTAGTGCTATTACTGAGTTACGCTGCATTAAGATAAGTCCTGTTAACAAAACAGTGTGGCAGAGAAACACAGTTTTCTCAAATTACAGGCTGTGTCTCTTGGATAAAATAAATCACCAATGAGGGGAAAAGATTTTTGTTGTGGTTCTTACTCAAATTATTTTAATAAGAATCCCCTCTACAGAACTTTCAGATACGTTTCTCTTATTTTTCCACTAAGTAAGGTCAAAATTTGTGCTTCTAGTTATGACGTATTTGCTTGATTTAAATGTCGATTTGCATTTGCATGGTTATCAGATGCCTAAACCCAAGTGGTTTAGTGAGTTATTGTGCCAAAAACATCAGACAGGCAACGCCAGCCAGACTCAAGATAACCTCTTGTGTGGAAGGTACCTTGTAAAACCATCCTATTTCATTTAGCTAAAAGGCAGATGGTTGCATTTAGTAAAGAAAAAAACCACATAACTATTTTATCTAGGAAACTGAAGTAAATAATGAAAGACTATAATTCAGGATTTTGTTTGGAGTAAAGTTAAAGGTGAGGAGGACGAAGAAGAAAGCTAACCCTAACTTAGAGATACTCAATTCAACTACACAAGCGTAACTGCGAGAGTCTTTGAATTTCAGGGGGAAACATGCAGGGTATTCCAGCAGCCCACATCCCCTAAACGCTACAGGGATGATGATTGTTTGAATATAATCAGGCAGTAAAATGCAAATGATTCATCACAACCACCTGTTGCTGACTGATCAGTGACCCCGAGGTTAAAACTCTGCATTATTCTCACAGTGATAATGGCCCTTGTTTATTCATGCTGATATTATATACATATATATCTCCTGCTACACAGACATCAAATCTCTGCTAACCAAAGATCTCCATTTTCAAGGCGATGGCAGTGCACTGTGTGGAAAAACCTGTCTATTAATGAATTCACAGACAGCAATATTTCTCGTTTTCTTCCTCCTCTTTTTGAGACAGTCTCTGATCTTTACTATTGAATAATAAATCAGAGCTTCCCTATCTCGAGCAAAATCAAAGGAGGGGGGGATTCACTCTCAGCTCTCCAGATGTATTTATGTGCAGTATAATTAAATACTAATTCAAATACACTGCTGTAATGAAAATACGCTAGACACCTCTTTACCAGATTCTCTATATTACCAGACATTTTGTGCAGTACATGGTTCAAAAGACATGTGGAACAAATTCACTTGGCTCACAAATGATATATGATCAGC